GACAGATTGGAGCTTCAACTTAAGATCGCCGACGTCCCGCTCTCTTAAAAGCAACGCGAATCTTTTCCAGTCCAGCACATCGTTGAAAGGAAGATCGTAATGATCTGAGAGAATCACTGGTGTGACATGAAACGCGAGGTCAGGCGAGCACATGGTAGCACTTAGAAAGAAAGACCTGGCACGCATCCGTAATGTATAGAGTCGACGATGCGTGCGCTGTTGACTTGTGAGCCGCCAGGACAAATGCAAAATTTGCTCCTATAAAACTGCTTCTGGTACACAAGCTCTCCAGTGGCTCTGCTGATCCGGTTATTACTGATGGCTAGAACATCGTCCTCTTCCCACAGCTTGGCTAAAACCACTCGGATCTTAGAATTTCGATGACCGGCCCAGAATCCAAGAATTGTTCTGCGCAGGGTGAGGACCAGGAAGTGCATACATGGTTGAATGAATATCAAGAGTACCTGTTTCTGACGTCGTTTCCTCCTCGAGGTAAAGCGAATGGTTGCAAAACCTGAGGCATGGCGATGTCCTTGTGGGGGATGAAATCTCCATTGTAGCTGGGAGAACACACCACACGTATCGAGTTCTTGACCAGGTTTGCAACTTTGTTTGTGGCTCTCGCCCCGACGTCATGACAGGTTACAAAGAAGTGGTCTGCACCGAGCGTCCTGTTCCAATATGGATACTTGACGATCAGGCCTTCCACGTATTCCTGGACAATATCCGCCATCTTCTCGTAAGAAATTCCCTGCATTTTGTTCCAGTTTGAGGTAAGATAATCTCCAGCAATAGAAGAAAAAAATGTAAACATGGTACCTTTCCTCGCATCTTGTGGCACGAGATGGGGATGAAGAAGAGATGAGCCTTGTTCGGATTTTTGGTGACGAACTTGCTCTCTCGCAGGTTTTGGAAGAAATAACCTTCGCTAGCATATTTGCCTGTGATTTTCCGTGGTGTTTGATAGTAAGTATTTGGATCACCGTCTGGATAGATGAAAATCTTGAACCTCTTCAACATTTGCTGATAATTCTTCTTGAAAATGGCAAAAGAGTGGAAAACTCCCGTTCCCACACCTGTCTCCTCATCAATGTCAACTCCGAGCTCTTCTCCTGTTAAATCCTCTTGAGTGGCTAATTCCTGCGTACTCAAATCCTCTACATTCTCCTTCTTCGCTTCTGTGCGACGCGCATCCACCTTGGTTTCCATGTCATCTGGAATAGGGACCGGATCTGTGCTGCTGGCAGCGTCCTTTTCGTCTAAATCCTGAGATGCCGCTGGCTTCTTCAACGGCAATTCCGGATCTTTAAGCCTTGGCTCTGTCGGTGGAGGAGAATTCGTGCCTGCCGTCTTCTTGGGTGCCGAGCTCTTGAGCTTGGGAACTGCTTCTTCCCGATCTTTGCTTGCCTTGTCCTCCAATGCAGGTCCCTTGCTCGACTTGGGCGTTTCCTTGGCTTGCCTTGGAGCGGCCAGAGCTATAGATACCGGAGGAGCAACCGAAACCTCCACCTTGGTCTGAACCGGAACTTGCAAATTCCCTGTGATTTCACTCCTGACATCCCCACTGCCCCCTCCTCCCATGAACGACATGGGCAATGTGAAGACATAGTAAGCAAGAATGAGAGAAGACGCTACCGGCATGGCGATCCTCAGCAGGGAGTTACCCGTCGAACCGGAAGACGACGACATGGTTGCCTTCTTGCCCGGCCTGAGCTACCGTCTTGGGAACCTTATATCCCAGCCTTCCACATAACGTGGCTCGACTTTATCCGTGGATACCTGAAACACAAACGACTCAGATGAGCTCTTGCGATTGAAGGTTTGTACCTGGGTGGTGTGTCCCGTTTTAACAGAAATCTGAAGCTTATGGGAGATGAATCCCTTACAAGTCGGTAGCCCGTCATCTTCTGTCCACCGCGATAGGCTTGACCCAACGATTCTTCTCCAGTAGCAAATCGTTGTCTTGGTAGTGAATAGTGCAGCAGTTGCAATCATGACGACGCCAGTGATCTTGCATCAGATCAGCCCAGCTTTCTATAACAAACAATGGACTTCTAGGTGCGGCGGCAGCAGTAGTGTTCTAACCGGTGCATGGAAACAAAAAAGCTTTCAATTCGGTAGACAGCCAGAAATGAATAAGAACTAACCTTTTTTATTGAGGAGTTGATGCAACAACTAGGACTCAACTGTGGATGTTCCATCTGGAAATATAATCCTTTTGTGTCCATCTGGCCAGTGCTCTTCGATCTGGAACAAACTGAATTAAGCCTAAGACGCTACTCTGAGCAAGCTAACTCACCTGGTTGTGAGGGAAGTAAAATATCTCGACGCCATCAGGCTTCGTGGTGTGCCATGTATCGATTTCCGAGTAGTAATATTCCGTAGTACCATCTGCAAGAGAGTTCTTGATATCTCCATTCGGAAAGTAAAGACACGCAAGGCCGTCTTGATACTCCTGGTATCATATTTGTAAGGTTTCAATAAGCCAAACAGAAAACTTACTTCTTCTCGAGTACCATCCGTGAAAACCAGCGATCTTCTCTGTGCTCCCCGAATGCCATTCTCTCTACATGTATTCTCCTTGCTTCTCGTTTTGTCCTCAAAAAGCACGTCTGAACCTACAACAGAAAAATGACAAACATCAGAAAAAAAGTTGAAGAAGTCGCAACCAGCTGTTTTACCAGATTCATGATCAGTGATGAGCTCATCGACCACTGTTCCGTCCATGGACGCGCCGTCCTCCGTTCCTGGTTCACTGGAAGACTTTTCCTTACATATCGATGTAGCGCGGTTTTTGTCACTTGCTGAATCCACTGCATCACTTGATACATCTACAATAGAAGTGCAAGTTTTTTCAGTCGTGCTTGGGTTGCTTGCAGCTTTTATCTTATTGCCACAGGCCGGTATTGAGGAGTCCTTGCTGGCACCTTCCTTCTTCTGCTTTGCACGACCGTCAGGACGTTGATAAAACAAAGCACCTGTGATCCTACATCCAACAGCTGCCCTTTCGCTTGATAAGCATTCAATCTTCTTGATAGTTTTGCAGCCAGGAACTATTTCTGACTTCTCCAGCTTCTCTTTCTCCTCTTGAACATCCCAATCCTGTAACAGCCGTTCATATCGTTTGATCTAGCAAAACGAGGAAAACAATCAGTAGCTGGCTTAGCTTGTAGCCAGAGAAAAGTTATACCTCCTCTTTTTTCTCGTTTAGCCGGGCCGACATCTCCTTCACAAGCTTCCGAAGCCTGATATTCTGTAAGAGTAAAGTAAGCCAGTGACAGAAAAGAGTGTAGTCATGGATGGTACCGTCAGCCGCAGGCGAGCTTCCTTCTTCAAATGCTCTTCATGCACGTCAATTAGCTTGGCTTTCAAATCAGCAATTTCCTTTCGCTCGGACTTGTTGGGAAGCGAATTCGGAAGCTGCGACATGGCTTGAAAGCGTTTTTCTAGCAAACGCTTTTCCCGCTTGAGTTCCTTGAGCTGCAATACATTTCAATGCAAAGCACAAGTAACAGTATGCGTCACTTACAAGCTCTTCTTTTTCAGAGCAAAATGCTTGAATGCTCGACACACTCTGTTTCTCCCATGCAGCCTTATCTTGAGTAAAGCGTGCACAGTCGTCCTCCTTTTCCTGAAAAATGCCAGCACGAGATCAGACACGTGATGGTCACAGAACCTTTCCATACCTTCAATAACTTGATAAGGCGCTGGCTCTCTTTCTTCACTCTTAAGTTTTCAGCTTCGAGCACTTCAAGTTTCTTCTCCAACGCTTCAGTATCAGGGATTTTGTCGTGAGAGATCACATCCGGAACTTTACGAGCATCGAGTTTAGTGCGGAAGAAAGAACGCACTAATCCAGAAACTGGATCCTTGTCCGATTCCACCGGAGGTGGCATTTGCGAGTAAAGACAGGACTCTCGCTTACTCTGGAGAAGCAAAGAAGCGTCAAAGAAACCATAGACGCTTTATCGAATACCTCTTGGACGTGCTCGTCTTTGTAATATCGATCCTCCTGCTACACAAAGGACTTTAGGACTTCTTAACAAATATATGGGAGGGACTCACAGTCTCAATGTCTTCCTTAACACAAGGTTCATCGTAAATTTCTTCGATTTTTGGCTCGGGGCTCTGAAACAGAAAAGAGTTTAAAGAGCAGTAAAAGAGCCATTCTACATGACTTACCTTGTGATGGATCACCAATTCATCTCTACATCGAAGAGGCTCTGAAACAGACGATTCCTGTTCTTCGCAATGCTCGTCCGGCATCGCCAGCGATTCCGGATTCTTGTTCCAGCTACTGGTGCTAGAACAATCCGAATCGTAGCTATCCTGCGATGAGACTTCCTCAAGAACGGGCCGATGGACGACCGGGGCGTCGGGCGCATTCCGAGAGAGACTAAACCACTTGAGACTCCTCCCCACCTCGTCGAACATCTCGAACGGATTCTCCATGGAGAGGCCGCCAGAATGCAGTGGCGAGCTGCAGATCACAGGCGCCCAGGGCGAGGAAGAAGGCGACGATCGCCCATCCATGCCGCGCGTAAACCCTAAAAGCAAGACTAGAAAGGGGAAAGAAAAGGAATAGAAATGGCGCGCAAATGGACGGCCCAGCTGGCCATCTTGAAATAGGCGATAACAAGTCAAACGTGGTCAAACTCCGCATTTTAGGGCAGGAAGGAGGAGAGATATGGCGATGGCAGCGACCGCGATGGCGCCCGTGGGAGGCGGCTCTCCCAGGTGTGTCAGTGCTTCGTGCAATCGCTCGCGACATCGCATTCCTCTCGCGGCGGCATCGGCCAGGGATTTCGGGCGCGGCAACAAGAGATTTGGAAGAGTAGCCATCGCCATGGCATCATCGGAGGAGGAGCGCGTTCCGGCGACGAATTCGGCGCCCTCGGAGGTTGCTGTTTTGCCGCAGAAGGAGGAGGGGGATTCCACTGCTCAATCGTCGGGCAAGAAGAAGCCATCGCCCCTGGAGAAAGGGGGTACGCTGCGGGGAGAAGCGGCCGAAGGGAAGGATCCCAGCCCCGCTGCCTTGGGAAAGAAGAGCTCCGCGGTCTCCGGAGAAAAGTTTGAGGATCCAAGGTGGAAGAATGGCAACTGGGACATGACCAAGTTTGTTAAGAACGGCAAGATGGATTGGGATGCTGTGATTGATGCTGGTGAGTGGCGAGATCCTACTTTTTTCGCTTTGTTTTTGCTTACTGACTTGATCGATCGGCAGAGGTGTTGAGAAGAAAGTGGCTAGAAGAGAATCCCGAGGCCTCGAGCAACGACGATCCTGTGCTGTTTGACACGGCCACCGTCCCGTGGTGGGCGTGGGTCCGACGCTTCCACTTGCCAGAGGCGGAGCTCTTGAATGGTAAGCTACGTGTTTCCTTCTGGCCTTCGGACGCCTGTCGAGAAACTCTTTGGTCTTTTCTTTTCTCCCTCCAGGCCGAGCAGCGATGGTGGGATTCTTCGCGGCGTACTTGATAGACAGCTTGACTGGGGTGGGCCTGGTGGACCAAACGAACAGCTTCGTTGGCAAGCTACTGCTCCTCATCACCGTGGTTGGAATCCTGCTGGTCAGGAAGAACGAGGACTTGGAAACTATCAAAACGCTGGTCAAGGAGTCGACATTCTACGACAAGCAATGGCAAGCGACCTGGAAAGATAGCGAAGAGCAGCAAAAGAAATGAAAAGACCGATTTTGTATAGCTCGTTAATTGAAGTTTCCCAGTCCTGTTTTGTCTTGAAAGTCGATGACTATAGACTTGTGTCAAGGATTTGGCCCGTAAACTGCCAAATGCGTTCTTCCATAGCGCCTATCTACAATCTGGATGACACAAGAGTCAAGTTTCCACAGGATGATTTTCAAGGGAGAAGAGGAATACCTTTGCAAGAGGTCCACAGGCCTCCGGCATTTCTTGTTTCGACTTCAAAGGATACTCTACAATCTGGGACAAGAAACAAAAGAGTATATCACGCAAAATCTAGGAACCAAATGCTGACTAACCACGTAAGTGTAGTCTCCCACCAGAGGAGAGGTAGAAAGCTGCTCCATAAGCGTGGGATAATGGACAGCTTCGTAAGGGGGAGTGACGCTTATGTAGTCGAAAACTTCGGCCTTTGGATTGGTTGCCTGCTTCTCGAGGTAAGTTTCCACCTTGAGCATGTGAACTACCGACTGTTCTGTGTAATTCGTAGCTTCAAGGTTGGGCTTGAGAACCTTGGATATCACCCATGGGTCCATTTCTATAAAATGTGCCTTAAAAAAAAAAAAAGCTTCAATACGGATCATAGAATTCACCATGAAACTTACTGCCAAGCAACCCCTGCTCAACGCTTCGATTCCAACAGAGCCAGTACCGCTGTAGAGGTCTAGCCATTTCCCAGGAGGCAAACCTCCCGTGTATCCTCCGCGTGCCTTGATTCAAACATAGGTGAGTGTCATAGACGGAAGATATCCTCTTTTTTCTTTACCTGTAGCATGTTAAAAACAGCGCCTCGGACAACTTCCATCATCGGCCTTACGGAGGAATCGTTTGGCGACAAGAGCTTCTTTCCATTGTTTTTGCCACCCATAACCTGACCAAGAGAAACATACCCGATAGTTGTGTAGCAGTGAGATAGACATCGAGCAGTCTTAAGAAATCCAACCTCGAGCTAGTGTATACCCGCAAAAGTTTGTGAACTGTCCGAGGCTCGAGAAGGGGCGCCTTATCTTGGTCACTCAGTTTATTCAGGCTGGCAGGAAACTTCAAGCCCGCCATCTCTACAACCTGGAAATCGCTATAAACATCAAGCGAGGAAAAACAAGACTTTCTAGAAATTTTTTCTCATACCTTCTCGTTAGGCTCGGCCTTGATCTTCCATCCGCGGCTGATGTTGTAAACTTCCTCGTCCGTGTATGACTTGGACTTCAAGTCGGAGTCGTCCTTCTTGCCTCTAGTCTTTCTCTTGCTGCCTGGATATCGATAAGAGCAAGGAATGTGAGAGTTTCCACCAAGAAAGAGACACCAAAGAGTTCTCTCCTCTTACCCGGGGATGCAGCAGCCAAAATCTGGAGGCGACGACGATCGAGAACAAGACGTGGAGCAGCACTGATTCTATGGCGCCTTTCCCACGCGCTCGCAAGGCCGCTGCCACAGCTACAGAGCTCTCCAGCCATGAGAGACAAAACCCTAGCTCTTATCTTGCATTTAGGGGTTTTAGCGAGGAATGGCCGCCCTGGCTGTGTACCAGCGCAACAGCGTCAGGTGCTCGCTTCTAGGATCTACCCCTACCGCTGGTCTGATCGCGGCTCAGGGACAATCCGGAAAGAAATCCCAGCTTCGCTTTCCCAGATTTCTCAGCAATGCCGAGATTTTGACGTGCCTGTGCACTGCTTGCAACGCGATCAAGTTCCTCACCGTCGTTCGCTGCTCATCGTCGCCATCAGGTATGGTTCCTTTGCCGCTCCAATCGATCGCTCAATTGGATTTCAGCAAAGCATGAAGGAGAGGAGACGCGGGGGATCAACTACAGGCAAATTCTAGCTACTGGCGAGGGGATTTGCCTCTCGGCTGCCGTTGTCTCGCAGGCTGGATGCTTGATCCGGCCTTCTTCCACCCAGGAACAATGCGTAAGTCGAATCGTTCGTCTTCTTTTTCTTTCTTTTTTCTTTCTCGCAGCAGTGTTCTTAGTTGTTTTTTGTGAAGCTAGAAGTATCTCCAGGCCATGCACCTCCACGACAGCTCAAATATGCGGCACTTTCCACTTGGCAACTCGTCCCACTATGGCTGGCTTTGCTCATCAACATCATTCTAAGATCCGTCCAGCCGCAACCAAGGGAAAGGATTCTCAAGGAGAGCTCCAACTTAGCACTGGCACAGCGGGTGGCGAGCCTGGAACACGATTTCCTTGGCTCGGTCACGCTCATCCGTGCTCTAACCAGACAACTCGAGAAGCTTGGTGTGCGTGTGCAAGTCACTAAACGAACGCTCCAAGATCCAATCCATCAGGTTCGCCATTGTTGCTTTTCATCAAGAGAATGCGCCTCTCATCCTTGATGTTTTTGTAGACGGCGAAACTGGCAGCAGATATGGCCTCCGCTGTGAAAGCTCTCTCCCATCGTGAAACTTTGCTTGAAGAGGAGCTTAAAGAAACTCGAAGCGCCTTGATGGCTATACAGGTACGTCTTTTGGAAGCATTTCTAAGAAGCTGGCTGGTTCTGTGTGCTCGATTTATTTCCAGGATCAGCAGGCCAAGCAGCTAGAGCTTATCTCCCTACTTGCGAGCAGACTCTCGTCAAGTAATCGCCAGGGTCAGAAGGCAGCAAAGAAGAAGATGAATGACGACTACAAATATGACTACTGGCTCGCTAACACGGGCGAGGAAATCTGTACTCTCGATTCCAAGAGATGAAGAAAAAAGATACGTTCTTTTTCGCGAAAGACTCGCTTGTCGCTTCCAATCCATCGACGCCGTCGAGCTTCGGAAATCCGCTAGAAGCTAGAGGGTAAGCTGGTTCTTCAGATCAAAATTCTCTCTTTGGTTCTACCTTTAATTTCGCAGATGATTATCTCTCGTACATTTTGTCCTTCCCCCAGGGAATGAGCTGCGAACTGTGCATTCTGATGCTGTGGAACTGTTCTTTACACGTTTTCGAGGTGCATTGCGCACTCCACGAGAATTTCTTCGATCGTTTGTACGCACTGAGCCATGCTTGGCCTCGCCTCCGCGTTCTCTCTCAGGCAGCACGATGCCAAAAGAGCGAGCTTGTGAGCACACTTTGGTGGGTAAGTAGAGCCCAAATCTTTGTCCAAAATCCTCCTGAGCTTTCTCTTGTCATTGAGACAAGGCTCCGCCTGCAAAGTTCCGAGAGCTCACCTCTCCAAAGTTCATGGGAAGAGAATTAACATAACTCACCCAAGACACTATGTTTTGTGGAACGTCATCCCCTCCAAATGAAACCACCGCAGGCTTCCCAGTGAGTAGCTGCAAGAGTACCACGCCGAAACTGTACACATCCGCTTTCACGGTGAGTCGCCCGGTCTGATCCAGGTTATAGCACTCGGGTTAACACAACACACTACTATTGGAATTCGCAGAGATTACTCACTGCCGTGTAGTGTGGATCGAAGTAGCCAAATGTTCCAATCACGCGGGTGCTGGCATGGCTTTGGTTCCTTTGAAGAAGCTTGGCAAATCCAAAGTCGGATATCTAAGAGAAACTTGTAAGTGGAAGAAACGAGGCAAATGGAATGATTGCTACTTACCTTAGCGGAGAAGTAAGAATCGAGAAGAATGTTTGAAGACTTGAAGTCGCGGTGAACAATAGGATCGCCATCCTCTCCTCCAGCGTGCAGGAAAGCTAAGCCTTTGGCACAACCCAAAGAGATTAGCAGTCGCCTCCGAAAATCTAGTTTGAATCCACTCCTATATAAGCATCGACCTGGAAAGATCACGTCTGAGAAAAAGAAAGCAAGAGAAGAAGCGGCAGATTACCTGCAAAGTAGCTCTCAAGTGAACCATTAGACATGAACTCGTAGACAATCAATCTTTGACTCCCGTCCGCACAGTAGCCAAACAGCCTCACCAGGTGCGGATGGTTCATACGGCTAAGCAAATCAACCTCGATACGAAACTCTTTCTCTGCCTCCGCGCACTGACCAGCAAATGTATCCATTCTTTTGATAGCAACCACCTGAAAACATCCAACTTTTGGAAGCTCCAACATGCTGTCTATGAAATATACTTTTCTCACCTTGCCATTCGTGAGGATCCCCCGAAACACTTGACCAAAGCTGCCTTCCCCAACCAGGTTTCTCATGTTAAATTTATCGGTAGCTTGCTCGAGTTCCGCATAAGTGAAAGCGTGAGCAACGACAAAAGATTGAGAACTCGTGACAACTTCTAGCTCCAATCCTGCCTTCACAGTAAAGTCTGCGAGAAAGGTAAAAACAAAGAAGATCAAACAGAACACAGTATTAACAGCAAGTTACCTGTCACTACACATTTCTGGCGCCTCGCTAGTATGCAATAAATCGCCAGACAAGAGCTTGCGATAAAAAATGCAGCCCCTCCGACAACACCGCCTATAATAGCTGCGGTGTTTTTGCTTTTCGGTGCTCCAGGTGGAGGAGCTGGTTCATCTGAAGCTTTCGGTTTCGCGTGGGACGGAGTTTCGCATTTGATCCATGTTACGTACATGCATAAAGAATTCTGGATACTGCCTAACCCACAAATTTAGCACCATCACAAAGAGATTCATCTTCACTTGCCTTGGCAACCTTCCTTGAAGCACAGTAGGGACATATTTTATCACGTCTTCAGGTAAGGACCTGCATTTTAGTTCAGAAGGTGACGACGAGGTAAGATTTTAGTTTCGTGCTTACAGATAGCGGAGGTTTTGGAAATAGCGGATGGTGGTGGGGTTGAGATCAACAGAAATCCCACTGTTTTGAAGCCCCCTGAAAGAGAAATAAGTTCAAATGCACAATACATGAGAACTCAGTCGCTTACAACACGGTCAAGGGACTTGTTGTTTGCCGGATCTCATCAGTCAGTGCTCCACTGAACGAGTTGCCTTCCAAGTCCCTACTAGGCAGTAACAAATGGTGAGAAATTGCTTAGAAAATTTAGACTTACAAAGCATATAGTTTTGGTAGCAGAAAAATTCCTGGTGGAAGGCTTTGTGTAAAGCCACAGCCACCCAACAGCCTATCAAAAGAACGAGAAGCAAGATGATTTTATGCATGAAAACATTGTAGGAAAGAAAAGAGAGGCACCTACACATATTCAAGCTCTATAAGCTCTCTGAAGTCAAGTTGTGTCCCCGTATTAAACGGGTTTCCAGTAAGGGACCTACGAGAATCAATTAAGGATGAGAAAGATTAGAGAAATGATACCGTACAGTATCTGTAGTTTAGTTAGATGTTCAAATCCACTACCAAGCATTCCTGAGAAAAGGTTGTACGAAACATCTCTGGTAGATAGAAACAATCTGAGATAACAAAATGGAAAGAGAAATTTTACTTACAAGTGAGTGAGATTTGACAGACCAAATAAACTATCTGGAATGTCTCCTGTGAAGCTATTGTTAGCTAAAACCCTGCAGGACAAAAGTAGGAAGTTTTCTTCTACAAAGTCTGAAGTTTTTTCTACAAAGTCTGAAACTTACAGCTTCGTTACGCCTGGAAGTTTTGCAAAAGTGCCTGATGCCAAGCTGCCTTGTAAAAGTAGATTACTCAGATCTCTGCAACAAGGACGAGCTAAGCTCAACAGGAAACTGATAAGTACAAACAGCCTTACAGTTCAGTCACGCTGCTGGTGTTTGAGCAAGTGACTCCATACCAACGGCTTCGGCATGGATCGCTTTCTTCCCTCCAGCTCTCCAAAACTTCCGGATCTCCCAAACTCCTCTTAAAGAAACGCAGCTCGTCCCCTGGAGGAAAATTTGAGGAACCAGAATCTGTACGCTTGCTCATTACCTTCTTCAACGGATGCAGCACCAGGCTCGAAGCTTTGGAGCATAAGGAAGGCACACAAAGTCACAAGAAGCCACCGCTTTCTACATTGGAAAGGGATAATCATCTGCAGGAGAGAACGAGAAATTAGATCCAGACGGCAGCGAAAGAGAGGCGTACCTGCTAGAAACTACCGCATTTCCAATGCTGAATCGCGAGATGGGTCGAGAGACCTACGCTGGACGTGACACATTCAAGTGAAGAGCGAGTCTTTCGGTCCCTTTCTATCATCTCGTGTTGGAATCAACGGAGCCATTAGTCAAACTTGTAGAACCTTCTGGGCATGACCATGGTTGGTCCCGAACGCGTTCGGCCGAAATCCCGACCGCCGCCGAACGCGGTCGGCCGAACACGGTCGGACAGCTCCGTTCGGTATTCCGTTCGGCAAAAAAAAAATGGTGATCGCGCTAGATTTCTGATGCTGCAGTGGCTATCGCTATCGCCACTGCATCTCCACTGCTTTGCTGTTCTCCTGCTGCTATGGAGAGATCCATCCATCGGATTCCATCCACGAATGCCCAGCCCAGCTGCCCAGCAAGCTTACATAGAATCCGACGAAGAGGCCTAAAGCCTATAGGAGCTGCGTGCATACCGAGCTCTACAGGGCGACACTCTCTGGCCTCTGCTTTCGATTGAGTGTGGAGCAGAGCAGCTCGCTGCCTCGCAAATCAAATCGCCCAGTCCGCAACACTTGAAATTTTTGCCCTAAAATGGAAATTCTAGAAATTCCTAGAGATCAATTGCAATCGAACCACAATGAACGAGGATTGTAGAGATGCAAGCTAGGCTTGAATCTCTTGGTATAGAAGATTTAGCTGAAAAAGATCTTCCAAATGAAGATGTGATTGTTGAGAAAGATGCCAGAAATGTTAAGGAACTTGCCAAAAATGTTGAAGATGAGTAGTAGTTGTAATGCTTTGGTTTGGTTTGGTTTAATGCTTTGGTTTTCCTACTTTTATTAATATGGTTTTATTAAAAATGTTTTTTTTTTTTTATCAAAAAAATTTTGTGAACCGTTCGGCCGTTTGGCATTTTCACAGCCAGTCGATAACCACGGTCAGCCGGTTGGCCGGTCGGCATTCGGAATGGTCGGGACCAACCATGGGCATGACGAGGAGAACCTATTAAGGCACTTTGGTCACATTAATTATCTAATTGATCGACATCCCCCTCTGCAGGAGAGTGAAGCTCTTCAGCGTCTCGTCTCCCCATCTCAGCAAATCAGCGCCTGCAGCTCTTCATCCCGCAGGTTACTACAAGCAGGCACGTTAAGCAAGAAGTAAAGCGCAAGTTCCTTTCTTCACTTCAGGATCTGCACTCATGATCACACGGCCTTGCAACTTCATGAAACCTTTTGGCCCTCCTGGCAAACACTTTGTCGAGTCTTAGCATGGCCTCCACAACGTGCCTCTGGACTCAAAAAGTTGAGAGTCCCCAGTGGGTAAAACATACCACTGAATGAAGTGTAGAAGATTAAGTTGGAGTCAACTCAAGAATGCAAAATTATCAAAAAACCGAGTATACCTTCTCAGCGATATAGAAATCTCCCACAAGGCACTTCTTGGGATACCGCTTGGGCTGATAATCGTTACAAGATCCCAGTTCCTCGACTCCCTCTTCAAGGCACTCGAGCAGATCCAGTATTCTGCAAAAAAAAGCACATGAAGTGTACCAGTATGGACGTAAGAGGCTGGCAAGATTGTGTTGACAAATCGTAGTAATGATCTCAACAATCTTCACGAATTGAGCAGCATCTTGTGAGCTGGAAGGATGAAAAGTGAGAGGGTAGGCCAGGTTCCATAGTTGCATCGACCACTTGGTGATGCTGCAGGTAGCCCTGGACAAACTGCATTCACATCTGCAAACCTCAGTTTATGCATGCTACGTTGACATAGTAAAAGCTTTTAACAAGGTATCAAGGAGACTATTTGCATGATTTCATGAGATAACACTAGAGTTCATCAGGCTTTACGAAAAATATGAAAGCAGACATTCTACAGCATACTCAGATTGACTGTGACACAGGTGTCCAACAAGGTTGCCCTTTGTCACCCACCCGTTTTGGCATATTCAACGATGGGTTGGAAACGCTAATGGCAAGGTGCACTCCCTCCTCAATCTTGCTTGCTGGGATGATTCTGCAGCTGCTCATATATGTGGACGACCTCTTTCTATTGGCCCCCAGGCCACTGGAATTTCAACTCTAACTAGACACCCTGGCCCAATTTTGTGACTTCATGGAAGGCAAAGAGGATGGTTTTTGGCCTGGACACAGCAAGCAAATTCCACTACAAAGGGGAATGGATTGAGCACACAGAGAATTATAAGTACCTAGGATACACCATTGATCAATGTCTCCAATGGAAAATTGGAGTAGAACATCAACAGCAAGGGCTAATGCACTCCTCTAATCAGATTGCCATAAAGCCAATGTACACAAGTGGGGTGTCAAACACACCTATTGATGTGGCCTTGTACGGACAGAAAGTTGGGGTCCAGTACTGACAAACTTAAAGCAATCAATAAAAATTTCATCTCAGCAGAATTTTGGGTGTACAAGGCCCCATAGCTGATTATAGATATGGAGATGGGTTTACTCCCAATAGAGATTCTTGCTTGGAGACATTGCATCATATATGTGTGAAGTGTATGCTTTCTCTAAAGGTAGAACCTTGCAGGGCCATAACCTCTCCACACTAATGACAGAATTGATAAAAAAATTGGAGTTTTGGACCTGGCAATCTCTCCAATGTTGGTGTGATGCTCGGATGAAGGATAGTGTCCTTTTTCAAATCTATGTGAACACTATCAACCAAAGGCACCAATTCGATTTCACAATCTAAAACAACCTCACCCCCGTAATTAGAGAATCTTGGCCAGCTACAAAACAGGGTGTCATAGATTGATAATGGAACTCAGACGTCGTTTGAGACTACTACTCCCACCCTTATGGTGTAGATCTACATGTAATTCTCACAGCCTTTGGTCATAATTCCAGATGGATAGTGCCAAGGGTACGGCTATACTGGTATGAGGCCGTGGGACTAATGTGGCGGCACTACACTTGCATGGCCTGATGGGAAGCTGGAAACAGCAATCCCAATTGGAGGGGATCAATCACATAGCAGCGAGGAGAGGACTTCCAGGCAGTAGCAGCATCACCATTATCAGAGATGGCACATTCCTCCTCAATTCACTGCATTGTGGGATCTAGGACAATACATCTCCAAAGGCTTCTTATATCTCTGGGAAACTGTAGGCACCATATAGATGGAGATCAAGCAAGGGTGGTGTACCTTCACTGATCTCACGATCGATTTAAATCCTTCACATTGGTAGACACAATCACATAGGAGAGATGAGGTTGGGGATCATGGATAAGGTGCAAAATTCACCACCAGTACAGATAGGGAGCATGCATTTGTGGAGTGAGTGGCATGGATTTGGGTGGCATAGAACTGAACTCTAGTTCCTTGATCTAATTTGCATAGAACCGAACTTTAGTTCTAGGGATCCTCCCTCGTCACCACCCCCACCCCATATGCTCTTTTCCAATTTCAAGCATGTCAAAATTGGCTTCTATGGTTTTTAAGAGGAAAATATGAAAAGCCCCATTAGACATATAATTCTCATAGGCAAACATTGGGCCAAGGACATTTTTGAATTTCTATGAGAAATGGAGATGATGTAGCAAATATAGTCATAGATGCCATACTTGTGATCACACCACATTTGAGTTGGAAGTGAAATAAGGGTGATAACACTTCTCATTACAAACACTGATAGCTAGGTGAGGATTGTGCTGAGATTCATCAAGAGGGGCAATAGGCAAATCAATGAAGCCTGGGGCAAGGATAGAAGGCTTGATGGCAGAAGATTTGGATTGTGAGATCATCAAAATAGTTTACTATATGTAACATATGTGATCATGGGATGAAATTTGGATATACTGTCACCGTAGATCTTTAGAACCTTAGGGAATAAATGAGGATAAAATAGCCATTAAGGGCTCTCTCATCTGGTACGGGTTCAATTCCCATTAATTAGTGGCTACTTAAAGATATAATATACCCTTGAGCAAGGTATATTCCTATCCCTAAATTTGAAATCATACACACAAGTATCCACGAACAAAGGTATCCACCATAAGACTGTGGTATGGGTGGATAATTAGTTGCCTCATATAGAATAACTAATCTGCACAATGGAAGGATTGGTAAATTTAGTGTGGAAATGGAGGTGTTGGTTCCCCTAGGCTTAATAAAAGTTGTTAGTCAAAAGTCAATGAGGACATTGACATCTTTGAAAGGGGGGGTGAATGTAACATATGTGATCATAGGATGAAATTTGAATATATTATTACCATGGATCCTTAGAACCTTGGGGACTATCATTGTGGATCCTTGGAACCTTGAAGGATAAATGGGGATAAAATAGCCATTAAGGGCTCTCTCATCAAGCAATTACTCCTTTTTTAGTTGTTTTAAGGGGAAAGAGATAGAGTCGCAAATATGATTTTGGGTATTGAAAGATATTTGTTGGCCAGTCCTTATAAGCACTCTTTCCTTATTACCATAATGGCAGAAGGTTAGTACTGCTAGTTCCTTTTATAGCCCCTCTTGTCTAAGTGTTAGCAAACTGATGAGCATAAAGAAGGAATTCCTAAATGTCTATTTAACCAAGCATATTTGGCCCGGCTTGTTAGTTCTCTTTTGCTTTGTCTTACACTGGCTTGGCAAAAACCCTCACATATTGAGATTATTCCCTCAATATCGCTAGATGATAGCTTACCATGTCTACCAAATACCCTTGCTATCATGCCCTTTATGTTAGTCTTATTTCGATCCCAAATACTACTTATGGAAACTGTCTAGATTTGAGCTTGTTCCAGAGATTAACTCCTGGTACTAAGGGAGGCTTGGGGTAAAAGCCCAAAGCGTGTGTTTCTGGG